CCTATTCTGTGTGAGTCTGGCAGATCCGGGGAGGGGCAAGTGTGATTAAGAATCGAAGGGATGGTCCTGTGTTGCATCACAACGCTTAGATGATTAAGTGCTGGCCATTGCACCAGCGCCATGCTCACGCAGGATGTCTCAACGAACCTTCTTGCACTCACCCCACAGATTTAACACTTCGCCTTCATGGTCTTGTAAGACCAATTCGTGACGCACACTGTGTCCGTCACGATCGCTGCCCAGAGCACACTTGGACCCATTCATCACTGGCTGACCGGTGTGTTGGAGGGGGCTGGTCTGACCTGGAGTTCCTCATGCGTGTTTACTGACCAGTGGCGACCCCGATACACGGTCATACGGTAGGTTGTTAGAGTGACTGAGTGGGGATCTGCCTGGTTGGGGGACTGATGTCATCCTCATGCATCGCGCCTGTGCTGATGGGCAAGATATCGACTGCGCGTCTCTGCTGAGGTGCACTCCTTCCCAACATCTCACGTCCTCCACAGATCCTTGGAGGGAGACCTGGACGGACCAGACTCCTACCGCCCTGGGCCATTGGCATCTACTGCCCGAATGGGAACAGCGGGACCGGCATCACCGCAGCAACGCAGTAATCGAGGACCCTGCGCTCCACAAGGCACCGGTCAGCATGCGAGACATGCGCCTACCTTGGGACGCAGTGCTGGTACAGCGGACAGTGAGCACAATCAAGGTTTGGATACCCTTCTATGCTATCGTCCTATCTCTTCTTCCCTAGCTTTTCTGCCACCTTCCCTCGCCGACACTTCCTTGCAAAGCAAGGTCCCAGTGTAGGTGGATTACAGGATGGTTTGCAATGAGAATAGTCATAGGGTGCAAATAGACTCAGGGCGGGATGGAAGGATGGGGGATGATCAGAGCTGAATTGTGTAAGGCAGAGAGTAGTCACCAGCATCGGTCCCTGCCACCACTTGAACATACTTGAAGTATGAGACCAAAGTGGTTGAGTAAAGACTATCAATCCAGGTTTGCGGGTTGTCCGATGTGGTGAGGTACTTCTGCCCGGATCTCACCATCCAGTCATTAGAAGTGAAGTAGCCAACGTTGTAAAAGTTTGGCAGGTTCCCCGATGCGGTGATGGTGAAAGTGACTGAGGTGCCGGATAGGATGGCAGTGCCGGAGACGCTGGAAATTGATGGTGGGGGTGGTGGGACCGCTGGCGGTGGGGGTGGTTGGAAGGCTGGCAGGCAGGCTGCCCTGGGCATGGCATAGGAGCTGCAGACAATGAGGGTGGGCGTGCTGCCTGAGCAGACCCCGGATGTTGGGTAGGCCGGAGTGCCTTCACAGGTAGGTATTTCAGGCTGAGTCCCAGCCTCGCACGTGGCGGTGGGCACCCCCGACGCCGTGCAGATCACGACGACGGGGGTTGCTATGGGGCACATCCCATAGTCGCTCACCAAGACCGGGGAGTCGCCGCACACACCGATGGAGGAGGGCGGTGGGGGTGAGTTGGAGATCAGAGGGAGCTGTTGCACCAGCACAATATCATGATTAGAGTCCTGGACAAGGATACTGCTATACCCAAAGGCGGTCATTGCAGTGCCCAGGGTGATTCTGATGAGGTCAGTGGTTGGTGTTGTGAAGGTGAGACCCCCCGCAAATGGATTTGCGAGATAACTCGTCCACACGTAAACATTTGCTGTGTAACCGTCGTACCCCGATTGGGCCAGATCGATGTGCAGATTCACTCCGGCGGTCGTCAGGTAATTGAAAGAGATCGAGCCAGTCAGACTAGGGGGAGGGGGGGGCGGAGGAGAGGGCGGTGGCGGTGATGGCGGATTTGGCGGGGGAGAGGGGGGGAGGGGCGGCGGCGGTGATGGCGGACTTGGGCGGGGGAGGGGGGGAGAAGGGCGGCGGCGGTGATGGTGGGTTTGGCGGTTGGGGAGGGGGGGGCTTGGGGGCGAAGGAGGTGGTGGTCTGGGAGAGAAGGGGGGCGGTGGACCACGTGGAGGGGGGGGGATGATCTGGGAGATGGCGGCAACGCTCGCGGCGGGGGACTAGGCGGCGGAGACCTGCGTGGAGCAGGGGGCGATGGCGATGGCGGTGGTAGGTGTGCATCCACGATGTCCACGGAAGGCGACGCCACCGTCTTTTTGGTGTCGGGGTCGATCGCAGCTGCAGTTACCGTGCCCTCGGCTGTGGTCGATGCCAAGGTGGATGTGTCCACGGTGGTGAGGCTTGTAGGTGTCAGGGTGAGAGTCCTGCTCGACCCAGATTTGAATGAAATTGTCAATGTCAGCAAAGGGGGGATGGCAGTCGTAGTTACGCTCGAAGTGCAGATGACGGATGACGAGGTCCGAGTGTCGCACACCATGTAGTTGACGTTGATTTTGAATCCAATGGGAGGTGGTGGTGGCGACCTGGCTTTAGGTGGTGGTGGCGACCTGGCCTTGGGGGGCGGAGGGGACCTGGCCTTGGGGGGCGGAGGGGACCTGGCCTTGGGGGGCGGA